GGCAGGGAAGCATCTCCCTTGCCAAATCCTCCTCCCTCCCTGGCGGGACTCTCCCATCCACTGGGCCACTGCTGGCGCCCAGATGATGCCGGGAAAACCAAGCTAGAAACAAATGGAAAGGGGCTCAGACACAGGCTGGGGGGGAAGGACTCACAGGGGTGGGGCCGCGTCCTCGGTGGGGTCCCAAATCCTCTCACCCCCCTGACTGTACAGAGGGCAGGCTGCAGCACTTGTGGGGCCCACTGCAAAATGAACGTGTGGAGCCCCGCATTCAAAGCTTATTGTATATTAAGAATTTCAAGCTAGCAACAACAGAGCATTAGATCAACCTGGGGTTTGTCCCAACACAGGAGCTCGTGGGGCTGCACAGGACACCCCAGGAAGCTGGCCCTAAAGCTGTGTGTTTTCTGGGGGCTGAGCCCTCGGTATCAAGATGGTGGCCCAGGAGGTCCAGAACCACTGTAACCGGTTAACTGAGGGTCCCTGCATCTCAGCCTCACCGCCTTCCTCCACTCAGAGCGGCCAGAGTGGCGCCGGCCCTCAAAGGAGGTGTGAGGGCCTCTCAGCGCAGCTGCCCTGGGCCCCGGCAGAGCAGGGCAGGGCTCCCTTTCCCACCCCGCCCCTGAAGGGCCTCACCTGGCAGAACAGACTCACCATTTGGGTCTTTCCGCCTCTGGGCTCTGCACCTTCTCCTCCCAGCAAAACTCTCCCGGGCCTTTGATCCAGGGGTCCCAATCAAAGCACAAATCTGGGTCATTTTCCTCTGAAGCTGCAGAGGTTGAGAAAAGGCCTCTTGGATGGTCACATCCTGTCACTTGCCCGACCCAAAAAGAGCTCCCTGCCAGGTCACATCACTGTTACCCCGATGGCTTTAGGTCTGCCTCTTCTGATTTGCTGATGTCCAAGATTTACTGTAACAAGCTGCAAGAGCACCAGCCCCCCCTTGGGCGGGAAACCTCCCTGTTAGTGAATGTGTGCACTGGTGTTGGCCTGGCTCATGGTGAGAAGGGGGTGGGGCAGTGACAGGTTTCTAGTTTTCTTACTAAGTCCAGGAGGATGAACAGAGCCCCTCCCGCCACCAGCAGAGGGCAGAACAAGAGCGGGAGACAGAGCCTCGATTTCGTCTGTAAAATGGGCACGACGGGCTGTTCTATGAGGGTTAACTGTGGTAAGACATGAAAACAGGTGCTGGATGTCGTGGGCAGTTACGATGACTTAAAAAGCCAGTGACTGCTCTGGCAGGTGGGACCGTTTCCTGAACACCTATTATGTGCTGGGTTTTACAAACGTTTTGCCATGTAACACTCTTAACAACTTCCTGAAGGCAATCACAGGTGTTATTCATATTTCTCAGAGAGGGAGGGGAGGTGAAATACGTGGGCTCACAGCCAGAAGGGCTAGCGCTTCCCACTTCCTCACCTGCCTTTCTTCCTGCCCAAGCCCATGGGCCCTTGCTGTTCTAGTAGGTGCTTGCTCTGGTTTCAAGAGAACCCAAAGGCAGCTTCAAATTGACTTCTTGCTCTAAGGACAAGCGCGAGGGCCTGCTGTGCCCACTCCGTGTTAGCCCTAAAACCCTCTCTTCAGAGGTTTCCATTCTGCACATTCCTTCCGAGAGGCAAAAGGAGCAGACTTCCTGGGCAGTGTCTTCCCTTTGAGGGGACTAGGGACTAGGCTGTCTACTCGGGCTAGGGCCCAGCTCAGCGGCCCCAGGCCTCCCAGTCTCCCTTCTCCTCCCTCAACTTGGACACCCTTTTGCTTTCTGGCTGAAATACGCCCTGAGCCAGGCCAGGAGTGGGAATCAGAACTGCTCTTGTCTGTTGTCCACACTGAATGCCAGACCCCCCGATCCCAACAAAGAGATCCGCAGTCGAGTACGAAACCACAGGCCAGGCTGTCCTGAGCCCCAGCTCCCTAAACCCTGGTAGGCCCAGACTCCGGAACTGAGGTGCTTCCTGGCACAGGGACAGAACAAGCACAAAACTGAGAGTCCCAAGAAGACAGGGACTCTGAAAAGGGGCCTCTCACCTCCTCTTAAGGATGGTGCCTCTTCCTCGCCAAATTAGCGACTTATTTCAAATTGCCACAGGCCACTGTCTTTCAGAAGACCTGAGGAGGGGCTGGGGGAGCGCTGGCATCCAAGGAAAAGGAATTGCTGGAGACAGCATCTGGCTCTTGGGAGCTGTCCCCAACCGCGGAGCGGTCACTAGCCACCTGCACTTCCTCAGACCACGCTGACTGGATGCTCAACCTACTAGCACCTGTGCTGCGCCGGCCTGCACTGTGCTGCCCTCACCTCCCTGCGCGGGGGTAGCGGCCATTACTACTTCTGCGTGAGAGGACGGCTCAGCAAAGACTGGCCCAGGGTCACACAGCCGGTGGGTGGCCCAACGGGGGGTGGGGCGACACCAGACAACTGGCACTCTGAACACTCTGAAGCACCTCATGGGAGTGACGTTGGGCAGGTGTGTGGCCTTGCATCTCTTCTCCAGACCTGTTTTCTCAATCGTGGAAGAATTACTTCACAGGATTATTGTGAGGATTCAGTAACACGCATCGATTGTTTTACCTAAGACCCTGTACAGAGTCCACTGAAAGAGCGTTAGCTAGTGTTCTGAACTATTAAAGGGCGAGGCTGACATCTGGTCCAGTCCCCTTGGTGCCAGAGGGACAGCTTCTATAACCAGGGCACAGGCCCACACTGACATCCACTGGCCACAAGCCTCAGGCCCAAGCAGTGTCCCTCAGGGCTGTGGGAAGATGAGAACATACTCAACGCAAACATTTTCTGGAAGCAAAAGGATTTCCTAGACTCTTGCCAGGAGCTCCCATTATTTCACAATTCCTAGTCTCCACGTTAGAGATCGGTGAACCGCCTACCCTGTCTCATTGCCATCTAACCAGAATTGGCAGCAGGCTCAGTGCTAGGTAGTGAAAGGTCAAGGGACTGAGGAATAGGAGGCGGAAGGCCAAGGAGTCGCTAAGAGGACCCTGGTGAAGGGGGTGCCCAGGGAGCCAGGATGCCTGAGAAGTGTCTCACACATGTAGCCAACTGTCTCTCTGGCCCACCAGCCCCCCACTTCCCTCACAGCCGGCTCTGCTCCACTTCTCGCTTCTCTGGGTGGTATGCTGGATAGACGTGTCAGCTGCAGGGGCCCCGTGACCCAGACAACTTGGGGTTCACTGTGTAGCCTGAGAACAGTGGGTGATCAGCAGGGCATCTGACACATGTCAAAGGCTGTCGGCTCCTGTTTACAGGCTTACTGCACAGAAGGTGGCCGAGAATGAGCGGGTGAGAGAGGCTGACATCGGGCCCGTGCTCCACCAAGCTTGGTGCCTGGTTGCATTCACAGAAGAGACACCTTTTACAAGTTCATCTACAGAGGGGCTACCCCTTTCCCATGGATGTCAATAGCCCCAGTCCCCTGAGGGGACCCAGACATGTACAGACTTACTGCTTCCCAGTGACCCTTGGGGATCACACTTGGACTCAGAGGTCAAGAAACTGAACTACCAAACCAATCCTTCACAAGTCCTGCTTGGGTCTGAGCCTGCAGTTAGAACGCCTGAAAGAAGCCCTTCTCTGCCACGGTGTCAAGACATCAGCTCCATGATCCCTGCCAGCTCCAGGGTTAGGGCCCAGTCCAGGCGGCTCACCTTGACTAAGTAGGAAGCGTAGCCAGATGATCAACAAAAACAGCAGCAAGCCCACAGGCAGACCGAGCCAGAACACCAGGAAAGAAAAGGTGAGGTCGTTCACCAGTGGTACCAGGGGGTACTTCATGGTGTTTTGTGAGTAGTCCCGGCCAGCCTGGGTTGGGGCCACGCTGCTCTCAGCCCAATTGTGACTGAGTGGTGACCTAACAAAGTCATGGTGTCCTTCTGGCGAAAGGAGAGCTGTTTTGGATGAACAGGCAGGAGCTAGGGCTGGGAACAGCAGCTCAGGCTTCCAGGCATCAGGACTCAGCCTTGGTAGGTCCCGGCTAACATGCGGTGGGATCCACGGACAGCTCTCTGATCCTCTCGTAAGATGGAGGTAACTCTGACGTGACTGTGTTGCTAAAAGCTAGAAAGTAAGTGGGGTAAACATGGTCATCTACGTGGGGTACTGACACCTCCAGGAGCCAGCCCCCGCTCCCCGGACTCCAGCTGCATGTGCCGCAGCCACCCTTTGTGGGATGGTGGGGTGCAGGCGGCCTGAGTGGGGCTTGGTGCATCAGAAGCAGGCAACGGCCACAGCTCTCGTCAGTAACGGCGATGTAGGAAACGCAGCTCCAAACTGCGGGTTTCCCTTTTCCAAGAGTCAGGACACCTGAATTATTACTCGGAATCTTTGTTTTTAAAGATTGAATCAATCTTGTTAAAGCTTCCTTTAAGCAAGTCGGCCAGGCCAGACAGGGTTACTAGGCTGCCATTGTAAAACGTCCTACTCTAAAACACAGCAGGCCTTCAATAAATGACTAATCTGGAAGTTTCTCTTACCAGGGTTTCAGCGAGGAGCATCCCAAGCTTTAACAGCCCCTAGGGAGAACACTCCCACATGCCAAGACAAGGCTTCGCTGGTCCCCAGAGCCCAGCAGGAGGCTCCACGCCAGGTGGGTATGGCTTCTGGGGGCAAGTCAGAGGGGTCACCTCCAGTCAGTGCCGACGCAGGGGTGGGCAGAGGCTACCCTGCCGCTGTCTCCTAAGCGGTACAAGCCACCGTGAGCTGTACTCACATGCTGCCCCCGTGATCAGATGCTCATGCCACCCCATGGAGCCCTCGGCTCCCACCCTAGTCCAGTGCGCTGGACGCCAGAGGTCAAGACTCCACGCTCTCAAGACAGAGGCGAGCAGCTCCTCGGCGGCTGCTGGCCTCTGCAAGGGGGGTCTCTGTGGGTCGTGCTTTCATTATGGACATTCCTTCTGGCCGAGGCCAAATACCTTTAAAGTTAATCAAATCTTGAGTATTTCATGAAACTCCACAAAAGCCAAGTGAAAACCCACAGACCCAAATCAAGAAGGTGCAGAGGCGGGGCAGAGAGTTCCTGGAGTCACCCGGGGGACACCCTGCAGGAGGCACGCAGCGGGCCAAAAGCACACAGACATTATTAAAGAATCTCCTTAAAATTTAATTGGCTAAATGTGTTACATTCAATATTCCATGGGTGTCTTCTGGACAAAGGGTTGGCATAAATACAAACAAGCCTCTGGGCTGCCTTCCCTATGCGACGAAGAGAAAACACAGGAGGCGAGGGGACACAGGGACACCTTCATATTTACACTTTGCCTTTACTTTACAGTTCAGTGACAGAAATATTTACAGAAAATACAATAAGAAAAAGATCATGTCTTGGCAACATATCGAAATTCATACAAATTGTATACATGATTTCAAGCAAATAATGATACTGCTTATTTTTTAGCCACAACTGCCAAGCCCTTCAGAGGAGAAAGATGTTCTTGGTCACTGCAAGAGACAAGGACTTGGGAAACTTGGTTTGCTTCAACAAATATTTATTGGGCGCCTACTATATGCAAGGCACTGTGGAATCCCAAATTACACCTTTTCCCTCACCATTAAAAAAAGAAAAGCATCTGAAGAACATGAAGTGATATTCTGAGGAAAACACTATACAGTACATGGCTTCTTTAGCTACCGAGAACCACAACCTGATTCCACACTGAGCGGCTGGATCACCTCCAATCTGTCAGGAAAGAGGCTGTCATGGAAATCAGACCATCTAACTCAACTTACTGTTTTGTGTAAACATAGAAATCAATATTTTTTTGGGAAGGAGATATAACCCTGGATGGGTTTTAAGTGTTGAATGGAGAACTACCACAGCGGAGTGTCCCGTCACCGCCAATGCATCTCTTACCATCGACCAAGAAACATGTCTTTGAGCAGGTGCCTCCCACTCTGGGTGAAATTCCAACTTCCAACAGAAATCAATATGCTTGAAGACTCTGCTTCTCTACAGATCATCTGCAGAGCCTGACAAATGCATTCCCCAGAGTATGAAAAAAGTAGACACACACGAATGCCTCGCAACACAGAACCTGTAGGCAACTGACATCACTAGCCAAAGCCTGGGGTATTTATGAGTGAGTCCAGAGGAGAATGAGCTGCCCTGAAAAGGGGGAAGGAAAGGGGGAGGAGGGAGAGGGGGCAGGGAGGGAGGGGGAGAGAGAGGGAGAGACCACAGCCCGCCTGTAACTCTTCCTCCTTTCAAAGGGCCAATGGACAGGACCAGGGCCTAGCCAAAGAGCGAGCTGATGAATAAAGAAAGGGTTCAAAATGCAAAGCCCCACTAACTGCCCTCCAGGCTCCCAACCAGAGAGGAGGACAGCCCCTGCCCCTCAAGATGATTTCCCTGTCACAAACACCACGCTCCCACCACACCCCGGTGTACCTGTCACATATAGCAACTAAATATTCTGGTCCTGGCTTCCCTTGAAAGGCTATGAATATATGCTAAGAAATTTATCAAGTAGATACTAAAAGTTATTATCAGAGACAAAATATGCTCCTCTGGCATTATTTCTTCTACTCAAAAGTGATTTTTAACACAGGCAACTGGGTGAACTTAGGGGCCATGAAGTCAAACCCATACTAGTGAACAATCCAAGAAGTCTCACTACACATAACAGACACTGGCTTGGGGCAGAAGGAACCAGCTCTGGGTAAAGTATGTGAGCCCTGCTCCCTGTTCACTGTACACACTGGGGTTTCATGTCTTCAGGGGTCACGCAGTCCAGAACCCATCCCCCCTCCTCTGAGAGACCACAAAGCCTTCCAGTTCACAACCTGCATTTAACATGATTGTTCACTTATCAGAGTTAGTAGAAAATACAGTTGCCAGAAATGAGAGCAAATGGAAGCATCATTAAGCCTACCATCACCACACACTACCTTACATTTTGCTGACAGTTAAACTGTGTCAAAGGTAAAAATTTCTCTGACGAATTACACTGAGTTATACACCTATATCACTTATTTTAGCCTCTGGAATGTTGGAAGTTGCACATCAATTACAGCCTTCTTTGTTCACATGCAATAGAACAAGGACCCATTTTTCCACTGAAACATCAATCTGGAATTGCAATTAAAGTTGTTAAACCTTACCTCATACCTGCTGAGTTACTAAAACATTTTAGAGAACTTGTTATCCCTCCCATTCCCCCATGCTACCACTGGAAATGTCAGTTTATTGCCCAGATCAAAAATAAAATCAATTATTGAGTAATATTACATATACCCTGAATGGAAACTGGAGTCATAGAATGATGAGGTTACCTTACCTGAGCTTAAAATAAACACAAAGAAAAGTGTATAGCAAACTTAAGACCAAGAGCTGCTGTGCTCACATTTCTTGCTCATAGATGGCAAATACAGACTTCTGGAACAAAAATATCTGCACAGGGAATTAGATCCTACACTATTCCCCACCCCCTAATTAAACTACTAAAACATCAAACCAAACAGACCATTGTAACCTTGACCTACAGAATCTACTGACATCAGAGTTCAAGTGGGAAGACATCTCTTCTACAACTGTGATTACTCCTCTTTGGACTTTATATGTTACTTATCTTCTAAACATAAAATAACCTTAATAAAAGCACATGAGAATAGAAGAAATGAGCAGTATATACTCTAGCACTGTAACAGGAATCCTTGTAAGGATGTTCTGGGTCTGGCCACCTCAAAACTTTTATCCCTGGCAGAAAAGTAGCAGCGAGGTAACAGTATTTCCAAAGTCCTGGCAGGGATTTGTGGTGCCTTCTGCTGGCAAAGTCCAGAAAACATGACAAGAACCATTTCTAATAGCAGTCACCCAGAGAAGGTGGTAATGTCTGTCAATCTGAAGAAATCCAGTAGCTCTCAGGAAAGCTTAATTAGTAGCACTGAGAAACTACTTCCTGAACCCCAAATCAGAATCCTTGATAAACTGCTGCAGCTTCCCGCTTGGTCCTGAATAAGAAACAGTGGATGAAACTAACTCATTTTCAACCCTTGTTGTGAATGTACATTTCATGTTTTACTGAGAATTACAATGTTTGACCTGTCATGCCACCAAGCTGGACAGCAGTGGAGAGAGTGGCGGCATCACTGCTCTTATAGCTCTGAACACTACAAACCCACCTGTCTCCCCTTCAAGGACCGAGATGCCTTTCTATAAGAACTTCTGGCCCCAAAACCGAGACCTTCAGACAGATGTGTGCGGTGATGAGAATAACTTTTAGAAATGTGGAAATAAGATATGAAATAGCTTAACATCAGATGATTTATGTTTATAATAATTTTTTTTTTGTCAGTATGGCAGTTGTATGGAAAATGAACCTATCAGTGAGCAGAAGGTGGACATTTCTCTCCCACCTATGAACGTTGAGTGTGTAAATGCCTGGCAGATTCTGAGACATTTTAATTTGAATACAACACCTCCTAAAAAGTGAGGTATAATACTATCTTCAACTTCTAATTTGCAAATTTGATACTACCAATGTACATGTTTAGCTGAGATGCATAAAAGCCTTTCTCAAAAGGCTTATATTTAACTAAAATTGTCACCTTTAAAAGAAAGCTTATGGCTAAAATATGTATCATCATTACCAGCAGGAATATGATTGTGTCTGAGAGCCCATTTCACTAGAAAGCCAAAGTCTTCTATCAAATAGGTTTATAATATGTTTCTTCTATTTTGGTGATTAAACAGTAAGTTCTTGGGAGTGATTTGTTTTTATTTTTACAGTGATCACCTATGAAATTGTTTTGATTTCGTAGCCCCAAACTGGAGTCAA